TTTCACGAGCTGGGTGTGAGGCAGCATCATCTTCACACGCCGCTGGCGGCCATAGCTGGGGCCACGCAGCTTTGTTGATGGCAGTACTGGGCTAGGCGCCCAAGTATTGAAGAGCGCTTCCTCCTGTTTGTGCGCTGTTGGGGTTTTGGCAGGTGCCATAGGAGCAGCCATTTTACTGGCTCTTCTTCAATGTGGAAGGTCTTCATCTTCATCAAGTTGGTGTTCCCCTTCTTCGTCCTGCGAGCTGCGCTACCCTGCGGAGCGAACACCTCATCTGCAGTGGGCTTCGTGAGTGGTGCAGATGGGCGAGTTGGATTCAGGAGGGTGTGCGGTGACTGACATGCTGGATAAGTTGGGCGCTGTAAGTTGAAGTGGCGCCATAGCTCGGGCTTGATGTCGAGGGAGGAAGAAGAAGGTTCCCACATGCGATGAAACTTTGTATACAATTGATTTGCGGGTGTTGATAACGTGGTTGGGATTCTTGCGGAAATTCTGTTGCTAATTGAATTGAGGAGAGACGGCACTTAGAATCGATTTTCAATTCAATTTTGGGTATTTGTGTGCTTCCACTGTGTATTTTCCTCATCTGGTTTGGTGTGGATTGCTCTCTCCAAGTGCACTGGTCATTGCGCACGTGTATGGGAACATGTGGATGCCATGTTGGATTTCGTTTCAATCAGGCACATAACACCAGGGCTGGTCCCCGGTTGAACCGGGCGCCCCTCCCCCGACTGGGAGTCTGCCAGTTGGACCTGGCAGTCGACTGGGCTGGCAGATTCCCGGTTGAGTCCAGCGCATTGCACTAGGTGGGGGGGTACTAGGGAGTCGTGGGCATCCCCGGGATTGCCCAGCCCCAAGGAGGCCCCTGCCTCTTAACAAAAAAAAAATCGGGGCATCCTGGACCCCATTTCTTAAGAAAAACGGGCGGAGGATATCCGTCGCTGATCTTTGCAGATCAGCAGCGGAGAACCGCCACACATTTGTCTTAAGATGTGGGTCGGGTAGGCCCTTTCTCCAGTTTGTCATCTTGTGGTCCAACGGACCAGTTATCATTGGCAACATCCGGTGCTCTTTCACCCTCAGCCACGAGGGGAACACTATGCTTGTGGTGATGCTCTGCTGAGATTATATCCTTCTGCGACGTCCCTGCCTTCTGTGGAAAAAGTTATGGGTTCGGATCTCGGAATCGTGATGTCAGAGCTGTCTGAGGTGCAAGCCCAAGAATGGACCTAAGCTATTGTTCTCTCTATCTCGAATGGACCTTGCTCCACTACATCTGGACAGAATGCCAGGCAGGATAGTTCCAGACTGATAACTCACCTTAATACCTTATGTAGAAAAAAACAACAGAAAATGCTCTGCCTCCGCGAGCTGAAAGCTCGACCCGTGACTCTTCTGCTGTCTAGCTATACTCTGGAAGAGCTATAAGTTCTGCCAAGGACCTCCTCTCATCATATCTGGTTCAGCTCGTGGGGTACCAATATCAGGTGACCCACTCCACGGAAGTGCTCCAGCCACGGTGGGGTCAGATAAGTGAACTTTGCTTACTCGACCCCTTCCCGTGGAAGCCCTAGTTGCCTGAATATGTCAATAATACCCCCCCCCCCCCCCCCCCCC